CTTATCACGCCTATAAATCAGTATAATTGTGATAGACAAATATTAATCTTATGATAATTCATCCACAATTAGAATAAATTGCTTAAGGAAATATTTGTAATTGACACAAAGTGCAGATCAGTGCACCTGATGTTTACCACGAGCGTTGCTAATACGGCCCTTAGTCTATAATATCACTAATTTAACCTAGAGCGGTAAGTGAAAGCAAATTTGAAAATGAAACGACCGTTTGTAAAAATGAACAGTCGTAAATATTTAACGACTTTTTGACTAACCGCAAAGGAACACTCGTCCGACCATAAAGTTCCACAAACATAATATAAAAATTTTCAAAAAATAATTAGTTTCTCTTTCTATTTGTGAACCAAAAACTCGCAATTGCAGATAAGCCACGTGACCCTAATTGGTTTGAAAGTAATTTTATTGCATCGACAGGATAAAGTATTTTCCCTATATGGATAAAGCTTAACTTTTGAACTAAATAATTTTTAATTGGCTGAAAGTTAATTTTATTCATTGACTTGAGATAAATTGTTTGTTTTTAAAAGTAAAAGTATGACTAATGATGTGGTTTAAGTGTGAGACTTGTCGATTTTTAAAATTATTGAGAACGAATGATGAGGTAATAAGTAATTAAAAAATATTTGCTTTTTTATTTATTACTGCCGGATAACCCAGTTTTCAAGTTTATATTTTAAAACACAGAATCCTAATTAGAGCAATTGAAGGTTAACCAAATTTTACAATGTGCAAATGAAAAAAATACATCATTTTAACGACAAATGACAAGAGCAGGATTTTTTTAAAGAAATGGGACACCTCGAAACACGTTTGGTGATGATCAAACTGCTTCAGGCTTCCACACCCATAAAACCATTGATTAATTAAATTAATTTTGCATCTCAATTATGGAGCCAAGTAATTTAAACTTTATGATGAAATTAGAAGATTTATTTCAGCCGGAAGTTGCATGAAAAAAGGCAGATCACTGAACCAACTTATCGAATTTCAATGTGCAGAACTTAATCTACTGGAAATTTATTAGATTAAGTTGCCCAGTAGGGTGTCTTCTGGTTCTTAGATGGTTTGTATCATCTTTAAACATGACTAAGCTGTGTAAACAAATATTTTAAATTACATGCTTACGTTTTTTTTTTTTTTAATAATTACAATAACATTCATACTTAAAAGTATTTTTCAATCACGGGTAATAAAATACACGTTTCAGTAGTTAATTGGCCATATTTTATTAAATGAAAGTATCCAGTTACGATTTTTGAAACAGGTCTGAGTTGTCGAAAGTCACTGTTTAAATTCAGGTAATAACTTTTTTAATTGATATTTTTTTGTAATCCATAAATGAATAAAAAATGTATATTTTTACATTCTAGCTCCCACTCAGGTCACTAAAGTGATCATAATTAAAAAATAACAGCAATTTAATTTTAATTTTAATCAAATTTTCTCCTAGTATGTAATTAGTTTGCGCAAGAAAAACACGAATTAATATTTTTTCAATGAATGTCTAATTTATAGCTTGTAGAACGGTGCTACTTGTAATAATTAATTTCAGTAGTTAATTCCTGGCACGTAAACTCATCCTAAATAAATTACTAGCGAATTCTTAGTTACACCGAGCGAATAATGAGGCAAGTTTCTTCTTTACCTTGATATTTTCCTCAAAAAACAACAATTTGCAAAGGTGGAATTAATTTCAGAATTAGTGGCGAAACATTCTTGTGATTTTTTTCGGTTCGTAAAAGAATTTGGGTTTTTTTTCGTTGAGTTCGATTAATTAGGTTAATGCGGTTCGCTGTAATCTTGCAGGAGAAATTCACTCCAACTTCCTGCAAATTAATCAGGCGGTTTATAAATCCCATCTGTCCAGCGGCGAAAGCAGGATGATGCATGTGTCAGACCACACCTCGAGTGCCGCTCTTTGTGCTTTTCCCAATGAACAGCTGGGAGCAAAGTGATCCTTCATTCAGGATCAGAAATGTCAAAGATGTTGCAAGAACGGATGATGATAGAGATGTTTTTAAGATTTAGCTCAGATAAGGAGTGAAAAAATGCACAAAAATTTTGCTTTATTTAACAATGAAATATAATAATTGTTTGTTTAATTAAAGCGTTTATGTAAATTGTTGTAAATTAATTTCTCATTTGCATAATGGGAACAGTGCAAGTATCAGATGCATTACCTCCCACCTGAAACACACCTACTCAATGTCTAGCGTTACTAGAAGCCAAATTTGACTCGTAGTCTTGTTAGAATTGATCGAAATCGTTTTAATCATCGCGATTAAATAGGTGTCAGTTGACACAAATGAGGTCACACGATATTTTATACCAAATGATTAAAATGGGTGGGAAGAAATAACTAATTCATTACAAACACATTCCCAGACGAATATATTTAAAAACCTACACTAGAGTAAGCGGAAAAACATTTCAAATTTGCGATTTTTGTATTAAATGAACTGATAATTCGATTTGATCATAACGTCTTGCTAACAGCAACAACAACACTATATTTTACTTAATGGGCGTGTAGGCTTCGATGTTTTTAAAAGTGTTAAACTGTTAAGTTTATATTTCTGGTTTAACGCTCAACGGCTTATATCCAAACTGGTTAGGGTCACTCCTTGCAAAAATAAGTTGAAAGAAATACAAATATTTCAGTTAATTCTGAAAAGAAATGATCTGAAAATTTTATATAAAAGTGATTTTCTAATTTCTGATTTCAAAAGAATTAAAAATAACAGTAATGCATAAAAAGTCATATGAAAATGAATGAGGACTCTTTAAAATACAATAAAAATAAATTTAAATTTTGCTAAGAGATTTCCGTTTCACAGCCAAGAATTTAAATTTAAGTTCGTGTAATAAAATTGTAATTTAATTTTAATGTGCATAACACGCTTTTAAGAAAAGATATTGAAATCCTTTTAGTTCAAGTAATTACATATTTAAAAACGAATAAAATGGTTTCAGTTTAATTACAAAATAAAAATAAACGGTGCTTCGAGTTCAATTTTTATAATTTAAAAACTGCATAAATCAATTTATAAAGACAGCGAGTAATTTGCACAGTAATTTTACTCATAAAGAAGAACAATTTTTTTGGAAAAAGACGCAATTAGTCACATATGTTGTTTGTAAAATTAAGAAAACAATGTTAAATAAAGTATTTCTATATTTATTGTTTTTCTGGTTTGAGTTCTAAGTTTTACAATAAATTTTAAAGTATTGAATTGAATTTTAAATTAGGTAATATCAATCATATAAATTATTGGATAATTATGTTTCGAATAAACAAGTAAATAATAAACAAATATCCTACAAACTTAAATTGTGATAACGAAAATCATTTTCATAAATCACTTTGTCATAAAAAGTGATTAGTAGTAGGTTATCTTCTTTCAAATTTATGTATTCACATGAAGAAATCTTTAGTTTAAAATAATAAAGTAAATAATGCCGAGAGAAACAAAAAAACAATAAAACAAAGTGGACTAAAAAAAAATTGAAGCCAGATTGTACCAAAGTTGCTTGATTATGTATTATCCCAAAAAACTATAATTTTAAGTAATTTTAACAAAAAATAAAGTTCTAAGTGAATTAAAAGACATTTTTTTAGTTTGAAGAAGTGTCACCTAAGGAGACAACTTCACATGTGATACATTATGTAAACTATTATAAACATTATGTTTTCAGATTTAGTTTTTTCTTTATTTATAGGATTCTAATAATTTTAGTTATTTTATTTCAATCAATAATACAATTTATCCATGCAATTAACACCTTTACCCTTCAACTATACTCGTATGTTTAATTATTACGTAGGTGCTCCAGTTATCTACTATGTAATACAATTCTTTCAAAAAAATAAAAATATAATTATTAAAGGCTTGTAAAAACATGAAGATTGAAGTTATTTTTTCAAAAATAATTTAATCCGAGATTTGGGATCAAAATAATAGCTTTTAATACAAATTTAAAATGTACCAGGTGAATAAAAAGTATGGAACCAAACGTTTTTTCCTTAAACTATTTATTTTTTGAAAAAACTAATTGATGAGTGATAAAGTACTATAAAAATGTGATGATTTAACAAGAATAAAATTTTTCGAAATTTCCTTTTGTTTTTGAGTTCTACAAAAAAATGGCAACCCACTATAAAATCATTTTTCTCATAAAAGCTATACTCTAAGGATTACAACTATCTGCTTTATATTTAATTTTTTCAAAAAAATTTTTTCACATAAATTGCAATTTTGACAAAAAAAATAGCATAACTCAAAAACAAAACAAAATTTCGTTCTGAAAATACGATGTATAATGCATGGAACTTCTAAAATTTGTCAAAAAATATTTCCAGAAATCAAATATTTGGTTTCCTAATAAGAACAAAATTTGAATTCAAAAGTAACGCATAAACAAGCTTTATACATACAGGATGAATATAAAGTATGGAACCAAGCGGTTTTATTTTTAATCATTTGCCTCCAGAAAATAATAATTAAAATAAATTAAAATAATATCAAAAATGTGATCGTATTTTCAGAACGAAATTTTGTTTTGTTTTTGAGTTATGCGATTTTTTTTTGTCAAAATTGCAATTTTGTGAAAAATTTTTTTGAAAAAATTAAATATAAAGCAGATAGTTGCAATCCTTAGAGTATAGCTTTTATGAGAAAAATGATTTTATAGTGGGTTGCCATTTAAAAAAATATTTCTTTTTGTAGAACTCAAAAACAAAAGGAAATTTCGAAAAATTTTATCCTTGTTAAATTATCACATTTTTATAGTACTTAATCACTCATCAATTAGTTTTTTCAAAAATAAGTAGTTTAAGCAAAAAATGTTTGGTTCCATACTTTTCATTTACCTGGTCTATCTATCTACTTGTGATTAAATTGGAAAATAAAAAAATTTAATTCAATTTTAAAAACTGATGAAAATCAAAATGTTTTTTAATTCGTCTTATTTTTAGTTACCTTATAAATCTCTGCGGGCACAGTGAACTTTGTCAACGATAACGCATCGACACACTAAACATCTATCAGAACATTGCACACAAACGCTTCGCCTCGGCGAGCTGAACGCAAAATGCTGTAATGCCAAGCTGCTGGCATGAAATAAAGCAAAGCAAAGCAAAGCAGGAGAACTCCGGCACACTTCGCTGAATAGCGGCTTTTTCATTCTTATAATGTCGAGCAGACTGCCAGGCTTCGCAATTCCTGCTGAAAGTTGAAATAAAGGGAACACGACGAATGATTTGTATTTTGTATACAAGAGACAGATGAACACGTAATGTCTTGTTCTTTACTGATCGGGTCAGAGATTGTGGACGTCGTTTGCAGGATTTCATTCCTGTTGTCGCGAAATGCCATCGGAATGGAAATGGAAAGAGCGTGGGATAAATTTGTACATGTTTCTGATTTTATGAACAAAATTAGTTTGTGCTTTATTCATTCACTCACAAAAATTTCTCATTCAATACTACACAAAATTTAAAATTACATTCGGGAAAAATTTAAATGCACAGTATATTATTTAAACGACAAGTAATAATAAATGCACAGTAAAATAATAAATGCGCAGTAAAAAGAATAAATGCACAGTAAAAATAATAAATGCACAGTAAAAACAATGATTACCATTTGTGCACAGTTTCCAGCCCTTGCTAAAATCATTCTTGCGCAACGCAGGGGCCCTTCCTAATATATACATACATTACCCTCCAATAATAATAAATTATTCAGTGATATGAAAATAAGTACCAATAATAAAAAACATTCTTGCGCAGAGGCCATACATTGTTATGTAAGCAAGACTGAAAATTCTTTAAATTTTATGTTGTTTTACTAATTTTGATTAAAGTTACTGAGCGTTTATTATTTCTACTGTGCAAATTGGAATTTTTTACCGAACAAATTACAATAAATTACTGTGCTTTACTTAGCATTTATTATTTTTACTGTGCAAAATATTATATTATACTGATCATTTTTAATTGTTTACTATACAAAAATTAATTAAATACTGATCATTTATCTTTTTACACTGATCAAAATTGAATTATTGAATTATTTACTTATCGCTTTATTAGTACCGATATTAAATTCAACTTTTCAACTTTCATTTTTTATACAATAAATTACCAAAAAGTTTAAACAGATATTTAGAAAAAATGTAATCTCGTAATCACTTAAAATTTAGTCCACTAGAGCTCACATTTGTGTATTTGACTGATAGAAGTGCTGTTTTTAATTATTATTACTTATTTAAAACATAATTAACGATTTTCTGATATTTTAAATTTAAAAATTCGAGGCACCTAACAGTCTATTTTTAGTTTATTTAGAACTAAATATACAAGAAAAACCACGTTGTTTTAAAACAACTATTTCCTTAGGGTTTTTTAACAAATTTGAGATAAAATTGATGATATCAGTTACAAAGTGACTACTAAGAATAACCAACACATTAATAATAATTTAATCGAAATAAATTTTTATCTTGTTAAATATACATACAATAATTAGTAGAGCTGCACTTATTAAAAGTGGGTGTAATCTTTTATTCCAGAACCGTACTCATCTTTTTCATATAACATATTTTCATATTACATAATAAGTTGCATGTAATGAACATGGCCTATAAAAGACAACTGAGGAAATTAAAATCGCAAATAATAATAATAATTAAAGTGCGGTTAAATAAGTCATTTAGTGCAGTCTAGACCGCCCAAGTAGTTTCCTACTCAATCAAATTTCTTCAATTAATTTTCATTAATTAGCACAATTGTCAACTATTATAATTTTCTTGTGTAAAATTTTACGATAAAAACACTTTTTCACGATTTATTTATTTAAAAAAAAAAATGATTTATCAAAAACCCATAAATAAATGTCATGTTAAGGCACCACTTATCGAATAATCCAAGCCTATTTCTGTCTTCTATTCATTCATTTATTCCTCGTTAACTTTAATCTAATTATTACGTAAAGTTAAGATAATGTCATGGACATTATTATTCACTTTATCGCTTCTAATTATTATTTTCTATTATTTGTCACTTACGTCACCTACATCAACGCTCCCCTTTTAATAATAAAAGCGCTTGAAATAAGTCATAAAGTGCAAGTTGAGAAACGCACATCTGCAAGAAAAAGTTGTTGCAAAAGATTATCCGATGCATATCCAGAAATAAAAGCAAGTCTACGAAGCCAAACACTTGCAACTTGTAAGAGTAAATCAGAAAGTTATGAGTACTTTATCTTTTTACTCGAAAATATCCACTTATTTTCAGACGTTAACTTAAACAAACAAAAATTAAAACATAAATTTCATCAAAAAAACTTTCAGAGAAATATGCGGAGCATAGCTTTATTATGACTAATAAAATAAATTAGTAAGGAAGCGTCACAAGAGTATTATATTCCCATCCATCAAAAGTAAAACCAACTGATCATCTCTTTAACTCGTCAATAACAAAATAATTTAAGTCGAATATCAAACCATTCTATGAAAACCACAGTTTTGCTTCAGTAATTAATTCATTGTCTAACATCACAATAAAAAAGATTTATAGTCCAATTTGAATATGTACATTTGTAAAAATAGTAATGACATGGTTTGAAATAAAATATAGATTGTTATTTAAACCGTAGGCGCCGCTCGTGATGCAATATAAACTTAATTCTCATTTAAAATTAGGTAAATAATTGAAATTTCATTGTCACTTCATTTCTATTTTTACAATGTGACGTAAATGTTTTCACAAATAATTATGAGAAAATCTGAAGTAAATAAAAAATAACAATTTTTTTGGTTTATTCAAAAATTGAACATCATTTAAAAGTTTCAACAAGTTATTTCTGTTGGCTAAGTCTTTCGACAGTAGTCGATGGCATTCCAACCAAGCAGTTTGTCTTTTTCAAAAGGATCACTTTTGAGTGAAAGCAAAAATTCAACAATTTTAATATTCTCATCTTCTTTTTCTGTGTCCTCGGCGAAAACTACCACTTTTCCTTCCTCTTCTTCAATAATCTTCATTGTAGAGTTTTTATTTCCCCACGAGCAAGCAATTTGTAAAGCATTTCTTCCTCCTCGGTCTCGACTCTTCAAAACTGTATCTTGATACATTTCTAAAACGGCCAAGTTTCTATAAATCACAGCCACGTGAACTGGGCTGTCTTTAGCCAAAATCATGTCAAACATCAGTCTAATATTCTTGTAGTTTTCTTTGAATGTAATTTCAAATAAATGTGGATAATTGTGATAGCTTTTAGACAACCAAGAAGCAACCAAAAACTCCTCGTAAGTTTTGTGTGCAAAAACTGGTTTCTTTTCGTCATTGAAACCAATAATTAGACCGACGTTGTCTTTAGTTTCTTCAATTTCGTTTAAAAACGTTCCGCAGTCGTGATTAAGTGTTGAAAATGTTGCTTCATCAAGTGATGCTTTCAGGGCTGCAATTTCGTATTGGAGTAATCGAGTGTTTTGAAATTGTTGTTGAATTTTTTGCATTAGATGATTGTCGATGTTAGCCCTTGCTCGCTGAAAAAAATAACGAAATTTCCCTTCTATAAATTCTTGATAGATGTCAGCAAGAGTAAATATTTTAACGTCTTGCAAATATTTCTGAGGATTTTTCAAAAAAATTTCTATCATCATATGAACATGAAGAGGGACTCCTGAATAATTAATATACCCAGAATGTAGAGACAGTTTCATGTTTTCATCCAGAATTGAAGTCATTTCTTGTATTTTCTCATTATCGAAATTGATTTTTAAATTATTGTAAATGTATTCCTTTTGTTCTTTTTCATTAAAATGAGTTATAGTCAAAGAGAGCACATTAAACGTATTTTCAAGAAAACTTCTGGTATTGCTTCTTGACACAATCCATTGACGATAACCTTCAGTAGCTAACTTTTTTATTACAGTGATTACAAAAGGAACACAAGAAGAGGACATTTCATCAAATCCGTCCCACATGAAAGTTGCATTTTTCTCGCATAAAAACGCACAAACAATGTTTTTAACAAATTCGTCCTTACTTTCATTTTCAACAAAATATTGCAACGTCTCCTCCAAACTGTGCTCTTCTTGAAAAAATTTCACATGTTCGTTGAGGTTAATTCTAAGGATCCAGCAATTTTCTGAACACTTGTAGTTCAAAAAGTGTAACATAACGGTTTTTCCCATGCCAGGATCGGCACAAATAATGGTAATCGTGTTTGTAAAGTAGCTCAAAATTTCAAAATCCTTGATGTAGTCACTATCTTCATACTCTTCAATGTTTTTTAAATACGGTTTAAGGCGTTGAATGCTTCCTTGTGACTCCATCCATTCGATTTTTCCATCATAAGTCAGTCGTAAATGATGACAATTCTTGTTCTTGTTGAGTTGACAAACTAACTGAAATTGTTGCTTTGAACATGATTCAGATGTGAGCACAAATTTGGCATAAGAACCTTCCTTAAAAAAGTATTTTTTGTGTCCTAGACCACTAATTATTAATAAATCGGTTTCAAGGTTGTCAATAACAGATGGGGTAAGGAGGAGTTTTGGCACTCGTCGACTCACATAACACTTGGGTAAGTTTTTAGCACAGTTTTCTCCAATCAAAAAATCAGTGTCCTCCATTTGAATCATTTTGGTAAAAAGAAATTCGTCCATATTTCCAAGGTGTTCAATCTTTATAAAAAGACGTCCTTGAAGAGAGACCCTCATTTGGTTGCAAATCTTCGCATAGGTTTCTTCACAACTTCTCAAATCACCTAAAGTGTGTACAATTTTCAAATCTTCACTAAACTCCTCCTTTGCAAAAGTTTCATCTATCAAAATAAATTTCTTTTCTTGGTAAATCCCCAACAGTTTTATCGCTGCGTATATTCCCGCTCTGTACTTGTCACTCACTTTAACAACCAAAGGAATCTTGTCCATGTGCCACAAAATCGTGTAAATTTTTTTCAAACTTTGTTCTATAAAATCTTCTCCTTGCGCCGAAATTGGGATTTTGACATCTTCAGAAAAAAAATCTTCACCAGTGATTGGCTGTGTCCATGATTTTCCTAGTAATTTTCCGAAGTGTTTTGGCAGAATAGTCGCCCAAATTTTGTCCTTGGTAGCAACATCAAGGATGACCACATCAAACACTTGTAAAACTTGACCCAGCAAATGGCTTTCTTTTGAAAGTGATTTCAAGTCAGGCTCGGGAATGTGAGGAGTGAGGATGTATTCAGATAGTTTCAACATGATGTCCCTTTTGGTCAATTTATAATTTCCGAAATCTCCTCTCCACCAACACTTGAAAAAGTTGTTGTAATTTGTGACAACGTCCACATCGCTGTTTCTAGTAATGGCAAATATCGTTTTACTGATGAGACATTTCATCTCTTGGGCATTTTTTTGCTTGGTGTAGAGATAAAATCGGTCCAAAAAATTTGCATCAATTGTGTCTGTGGTGTCAGCAAATTTAAAAATAAAAAATTTTTCGTCCTCACTCAAATCTAATACATTTCTAGCAACACATTTATCATGCCTATAAATTGTGGCATTGGTTAGTTTCACCTCATCCACTTCTTGATTCTTGTTTTTGAATTTTGGTAAAATTTGATTGGTGTACAAGATAAAATGAAATTTTTCAAAAGGTATGCCAGAAGGGTTATTTTTGAAAGCCTCTTCGATTTCTTTAAAACTGTTGCTATATTTCCTCAATCCGAAATTCCCCTTTTCTGCTTCAAACGAATGAAGAGATATATTATCTTCTTTAGCACCGCAATGTTTCAATTGCAAAGCATACAAATGTTCATCGCCGTCCTCGTATTTAATTTCAACAACCACATCATCAAATTTATCCAAATCATTATTATTTGTAGATATTTTAAAGTCCGCAATGTCTTTACTAAGACTGAGGTGAATTCCATAATAAGCTGCTACTAAAAACTCGTAACTGGTGCCGTAATCGAGACACCCAGCTCGAAATTGGAACTTCTAAAAGAGTTCATTTTGTTTTAAATGTTAATCTTGTAAAATTATCTTACCTGACTCGTCATTTAACGCTTCAGCACGTCTCACAAATTCCTGATATTGTGAAATCTCTATATCATATCTGTGTGATAACAGATAAAATGAGATTAGAAATGAAAATTAAATTTATTTCAAATTGACCGCTGAAAAAAATCTAAGTAGGAAACTGTCATGTCAATTAGTACTCTCAAGGGCGCTACTGTATCAGAGTTAAAACCACAGATAAAACAGTAATCTGCTTTATCGGCACAGTGTCAATAATCATCACTTGTCAAAACTTGAAAATTTTCATAATAACAATAAATAGTGAAAAAATAGTGCAAAACAGTGCAAGATGGCGAGTAGTTCAAGGTATATGAACTTAAATAACTTGTTGTAATTTCATATTCAGTCAGATCTTAACCTCGAACGTTATTTTAGGTATGACACGAACAAGGTTTGTTGTAATTCTCATCCAGATGCCCCCCTTATTGAAGACTACAGAGCTGGTGATCAGATTTGTTCTGAATGTGGTTTAGTAGTAGGTGACAGGTAACATTGAAATCAATGAAACCCATTGCAAGGTTATTTATTTCCTTTATTTAGAGTAATTGATGTTGGTTCTGAATGGAGAACCTTCAGTAACGAGAAATCTGGGGTGGATCCTTCCCGTGTTGGTGGGCCTGAGAACCCCCTTTTAAACGGCTCAGACCTGACCACAATGATAGGTCCTGGTCGAGGTTTGCGTTCTGTTATTTAACCAAATTTGTGTTTTATATTGTTTTTTCCAGGAGACGCCTCATTTGATAGTTTCGGTGTGGCGCGCTACCAAAACCGTAAAACAATGAGCAGTTCAGATCGTGCTTTGATCAACGCATTTCGTGAAATTAACGGAATGGCCGATCGTATTAATCTCCCAAGGACTATAGTTGATCGTGCTAACAACTTGTTCAAGCAAGTGCACGACGGACGTAACTTGAAAGGACGCTCGAACGATGCTATAGCGTCAGCTTGTCTTTATATAGCGTGTCGGCAAGAAGGCGTCCCCAGAACATTCAAAGAAATATGCGCTGTTAGTAAAATCAGCAAAAGAGAGATTGGAAGATGTTTCAAGTTGATTTTGAAAGCACTTGAAACTTCAGTTGATCTCATTACCACTGGTGATTTCATGTCGCGGTTTTGCTCAAACCTCGGATTGCCAAATATGGTGCAAAGGGCAGCTACGCATATCGCGAGGAAGGCAGTCGAGTTGGATATTGTTCCTGGGAGGTCGCCGATTTCTGTCGCTGCAGCTGCTATTTATATGGCGTCACAGGTAACAATCCATGTCAAAATAGTATAGCCCAATCAAATTAGACAAAAATATAGGGCGATCGGTGGAAAAAAATCCTAGAAAGTTCGAATTTTTTTAAACGCTTTCTTTATTCTTGGGTAGACATATATCAAAAGTCCCCGATGGTGGGAGGTGAGCTCGAGGAGGGGGAGAGGGCTAAAGGTGTCTTTTTTTGTTTATATCTCGGAAACTATTACTCCTAACGGTTTTTGCCTGCTTATTAAAATTAAAGCCAACAAAATTTCCTACAAAAATGGTCATTTGCATTTTTGTTGTAGGACTAACTGTACGCGAGTTATAGGGCTGACAAAAAATATCATTTAAAAAATGTGCTTTATCCGCATTTAAAACAGAATTAATCTTGTGATTTAAAAAAAAACTGAAAGCAAATTGAATTTATTGGGTGCAACACTTCATTAGAGAGTCTATAAAGTCTTCCGAATCGTTCTTATATGCTGCATTTTCGTCTTCAACTTAAACATTGAAAACCGATTTACAGTCTTGTTCAGTACAATATTAATAAATAGATGATTTATTTGTTATTCCATTGGCTTAGGTCTCTATAAAACTAGATAATTACCTATGTTATGTATAGGATTCAGTTATAGGAGTCTCGTTCTTCGCATGGGGTATGTTTATGGATAAATATTAAATGTTGATTTTCATAAAGTGTCGTCACAGTGCACTTCTGCACTCTCAAAATTCGAAATTTCATGTTTCTAATTTTGTTTTTAAGCGTTTAAACTCTACTTTATGTCATTAAAATTTGAAAAGTGCACTTCTACACTCTCTAAGGATCATATTTTCTAAATTTAATGTGTTTATATCCCTTTAAATGTGTACACCGTTTTATTCCCTTAAAAACTAATTTTCGAAAAATCTGATTTTAGTGCCTCTTTACACCTCTAAAGAATTTTATGTTTATATCTTTGTTTAAACATTTACACCCCATTTAACCTCCTTACAGATTGATTCTCTCTTTCATCCAAAATTTTTATTTATATCTCCGTTTAAATGTTTACACCTTTCAGGCAGACCAGCTTAGTTGAGGAACGCTCTACACATATAAATACTTACCATATCATAATGAAATGTGTTTCAAAGGATTTTTAATGCAATTTTATGTAGACTCCAAACTTTTGAAGCCTACGGTTAGTCCTACGACAAAAATGAATAGGACCATTTTTTCTTTAATGAAGTATTGGACCCAGTAAATTCAAATTACTGTCAGTTTTTTTTAATTACAAGACTAATTCTGTTTTAAATGCAGATAAAGCAATTTTTTTAAATGATATTTTTTTCTGCCCTATAACTCGCTTACGGTTAGTCCTACAACAAAAATGCAAAGGACCATTTTTGTAGGAAATTTTGTAAGCTTTAATTCTGATAAGAGATAAAAACCTATACGAGTGATAATTTCCGAGATATAAGCAAAAGACCAAAAAAGACACCTTTAACCCCCTCCAACCTTCGGGGACTTTTGATATATGTATACCCAAGTGTAGAGAAAGCGTTTAAAAAAAATCCACCTCTCTAGGATTTTTTTCCACCGATTTGTCTAATTTTACTGGGCTAATATACAATTTTTTTATTATGAAATAATTTGTATTTTTTAGGCATCGGAAGACAAACGGAGTCAGAAAGAAATCGGCGACATCGCAGGAGTGGCCGACGTCACCATTCGCCAATCGTACAAACTGATGTATCCCCACGCTATCAAACTATTTCCGGAAGATTTCAAATTTGCAACACCGATCGATCAATTACCACAAATGTAAAATCGGTGCTTTTTAATACGTTTTGTTTGTCTTTTATTACAAAAATTGATGTAAATTTTATTTATAGATCTTAAGCACTAGGTCGAGTTAAGTAAAATTTTATACAAAACACATTTAGGTACGATCTTTTATAAGAAGAATTATATTGAATGAGTCGAAATTTTGTGTTATGTTTTGAACTGAGAAATCATTTCGTTGATTTCCTGCACTGCTTCCATGTCTATTTCCGCCTCCTCAGAAGATTCGCTGACGTCGGAATTTTCATCTTCGCCTTCGTCGACTTTTTCTGGAATCGAACTCTGAATTATTTCGCCGACTGTTAATTCGTTTTCTTCGTCACTGGACAAATTGATGAGTTCGTCTGATGGGCCAGGATCGAAGTCTCTGGGGACGTAAGCCGGTTGAAGGCCCACATTTTTGTAAATCCCCTTTTTAATATTGCTCAACATTTGATTGTAATAGTCGAGATGAGATCCGCTTTCTTTTTTGCGCTCCTTCACTTTGGACGTTTTTTCCTGTAGAACTTTTTTGTCTTCAAGCAGTTCTCTCTGGACGGCTTCCAAGACGTGATCATTGACGATTTTGCGACAATCAGTGATGAAATTATCAGGCAGCCAACCGTTTTTCGGGTCGCAGAAAGTCCCTGAAGACTTGGGCAACCTCGATATCTTCTCTTGTATTTGTGGGAGGATTAAGTCGCACAGCTGGTAGAACATTTGTCTCGCTGGTGGGATTGTCAGCGGTCTTAAAACGTAGTATCTCTCATCTAACTCCATTTTGGGCTTTGCGGACATGTCGTGTTTCAGGGACATTTTCTTCACGTTTGTGGTGCCCAAGAAGGAGGAAGTTTTTCCAGCGTAACTCCTCTTAGCTGACACTTTTAGTTTGGTGCTTTCTGCCGTTCGTATTCTGTAATCTAGGGTTTGGTATATTCGAGCTTTTGGGTCTTTTCGGGGGTCATAGCCGAATTTTACCCAAGAAATTCGCCAAGGACCGTTAGTGAAATAATAAGAAACGACTGGGAGAATTATTTTGGAATGTTCGTCTGAGAGACCTGTGTTGTAACGAATGGCGGCTTTTGTCCAGATGGGTCTCTCCTCAAACAACTAATTTTTATTTTTATTAAGACAAAAAAGTCCTGAGGCGACTTACTTGCTTAACCCTTTCAATTCTCTCCTCCAAATTTCTGTGCTTCAAAAGTTTTAAAGCACTTTCTAAAGGTTCAGTTGGTATTTCCTTATCTTGAAAACTAACAAAAATGGACGTTTGTTGTCTATTTTTTCCAAATATTCTACAAACATTTTTTTGCTGTTTTAGACTGACTCTAGATTGGGCAGTTTGCACACTCCTAAGTTTTAGTTTAGGATCAGTTTTCTCACTGTCGACGTTTAATTTTTTTTGCGAACTGTCGTAAAGTGAGAAGTGGACTGGTAGTAAAAACTGTTCCATATTTCGCGCCTCTTCATTCCTAAAAAACGAACGTTTAAAAAATAAAACTAAATGGAGAACAATGTACTCCAGCCATTCAGGGTTTGGCAGTTTATGGGGAATAATTTTCTCATAAATGTATTCTGTTTTAGACAACTTGGTTTCGGGTTCTTTGGCCACTAATGGTAAATATTGGAAGTCACAAAGCCCTAAAAGCATACTTTAAAATTCTGCACACAAGAGGCAATTAATTATGTACTGTTAAAACTAAAATTTATCACAGAAACTCCTTCAACATTATAACTGATATCATCATTTGACGTTGCTTCAGGCTGTAGAAACTTCTTTTTCACTTTAATTAAAATTCCTGGTTTAAAATCTTTATCAGCAAAGCAACCTTTATTATATTTATTTGCCGGATGAAAGTGTAATTCTAGTTTGCGTCCATGTTCAGCCACACTCTAAAAACAGACTTACAAAACGAAAAAGAAAAAAACAAGTCAATACTGATTCAATTTGTTCAATTCCTCCCAAAGTCTCCAATGCTTTATTAACATTTTTCACTTCACCGGGATACTCAACTCGTATCAAGCGCTTATTAATTTGTAAAATACAGTTAGGATCAAGAGTATTTTGACATAAACTCTCATTTTCTGATTGTTTCTGAGACTTGACATTGGGATTAACAGTGTTTCTGTCATCCTTTTTAAGGTCGAGCTGTGACTCTATTTCAAATGGTTTCGAAATGTTTACTGTTTCAGTGTCCATTGTAACACCTTTTAATTATTTGCATACAAAAAACCCACTTTTTAAAGGTTATATTTTGATTGACAAATTGACAATTTCAGTCCTCAGTCGGTAAAAAAGAAATCTACATTTTTACAGTACCTTTGCTTTATAAATTATTGTTAAAATCTTCTAATAACTAATAAGTTCACGAATATGAAAACGCAAATAAGTTTATATATTTCTCCATTTATTCACGAAAGGAATAGTTTCAAGAATATAGTTTGGACATGAAAATGTTCTTAATTAACGTCTAACGTGTAACAGTATTTCAGGATTTTCAGTTACAATAGCTAAACTCCAAATTACATTGTTAGGAATGTACACCTAATGTTCTCTCTTTAAACTTACATAACTGGACTCAAGTCTACTGCACATCATTCTGTGGTTTGAGAAACCGATTTGTTCGAGTATAATTCTAAAACTCGTTCAGATATAAAAACTATGACTGGGCACTTAATCTCTGACTAATATTTTCAATTCTAACTTTGAGATTTTGTATAACATCTGTTGCTAATTCCTCCACGTTCGTATACCTACACGTTTGAAAATTAAAGATATCGACAAGAAAGCCCATAACTTGGTCCTTGAAATAAACACAAGTATCCCTGAGTAGTTCGTCGGGCCCCAAAAAACCCCATGCTAAAAGCGGCGAAAGCTGCTCAGAAATCGAATAAAAGTGCGCCATAAACCCTGTCGGAAACTTCAACATCCTCCTTTTGGCCTTCAGCACCGACCACACGGCAGTGGTCAACGCCGTCTCCTTGAAACCATTCGACAACCACCGATTCTGCACCACCGCCGTCACCGACGACGGCGGCGAGTCCAAGTCCTCGAAAGCGTCCATGAGGATGTAGTCCATAACCACGTCGTAGAACGTCAAAGCTTTCACCCCTTTCATGCTTAGCTCTTCTTCCAGTTCGCGCCAGTTGTTCGGATCTTGGATGTACTTGAGCATCTCTTCGTAGCCGATGAGGAAGTCTTTGGGGTCTCGGTCGGCGTAGAGGAGGAGATCGGCGAGGATTTGGCGACCGGCGTCGGCGAACCAAACGTAATTCAATCTGTCACGCAAGATGTATTGGAAAGCGAGACGAAGACAGTGCAATTTTGCCAGGTATTCGCCGTCGGAGCCGCATTTCACCAGCTCGGTGCGGAGGGTCCTACAGGGGATGCCCCCGTTTTCAAGGTGGCGCAGCGCCGCTTGGTACAAGGGGAATTGTTCCAAGTCGGGGAAGTAGTCAGAAAACTCCTCGAATTCCCTCAAATCGGCCACCTGGAATAATATGAACAACTTTTTTTTGCAATTTGCACACATAGTCCAGTCAGTAGGGGCCAAAAAAGGCCTTTGTCCTACAAAAGGTGAGGTGGTAGTAATTTTTTAATATGTTGTTAAGATCTAAGCTTTAACAAAAAATCCAAAAAATAACTCCGCAGCGGTTGATTCTACGGCAAAATTCCGCACATTTTCTGTATAAACATTTTTTTGTAAGTCTAATGTGTAACGAGTTACAGCGGCGGAAAGATGAACATTTTTCCCAGAAAAATAGAAAACTCCCCCATTTTCGTAAGAACAAATTACACTTGTTTTTAATGTTTTTATACAGCGATATCTATTTCAAATTACAGTGATTTTTCTTGTTACATATAGGGTTATTCATAAATATGAAGCAATATTTGAACCTCAAAAATGACCTATAAAATGATGTTAATTAAATAATAACTCCTGTCCTATCTCTACTGATAAGAACTTTACAGCCCTCGGAACGTGGGTATGGATTTTTTTTGTAATAACTTCGGAACCATTTGACCAAAATACAGAGTAGTCCAGAAGTCTGGAAACGCTTATTATTTTCTGGCGAAACTATCAATTTTTTAGGCAAAAAAAATTGTAGGTGTACAATGGCTATAGAATTCCTATTCCAAAAAAAATTGAATATCAATTAATTGTTTTTTCTTACACTAACAATTTTTTTAATGGAAATCTACCACATTTAGCTTATTAAAAGAATTGTTGCTGTGTAATTATTTTTTTTTTTGTAAATTTAACACTTTTTGTTAAAAAAATGTTTGACTTACAAGTATTAAAGAATTTTTTTTAATAAACTACTCGTTTTTTTTTAATTAAATTGATGAATGTTTAAAGGTTGTAAAGAAGCGATGCCAAGATATTTTTTATTTTAATTAATTGTTTAAACGTACCACCCCTTGGCCGGTGGAAGAAAGTTTTGACAACAGATAAAGTTTATAATTTTTTTAACATAAATATTTTTGTACATTTATAAAATGCATGAACATATCTTTGTAAAACAATAAATAAAAAACCGTTTTATTTGAGAAAAATATATATATTAATAGTATGGTAATCTCAAAAGTTTAAACAATTTTTCTCTTTAACATATTTTGTAATCGGATCTTTTTTCTTAAACTGTCTAATTTTTAACTTGAACTGAAATTTTTAATTAGAAATTTGTGATTTGCCATATTTCCTAAAATATGAACGAAATTGCCAAAATATGCATTTTTTAATTGGCCTATTTTCATAAAAAAAAAACATCAGATATGCATAGAAAACTGATAAGTTTGTTGATATACCTCTTAATAACAAATATGCATATAAGCTGAGCCTTATTTATGAATAACCCTATATGTAACAAGAAAAATCAGTGTAATTTAAAATAGATATCGCTGTATAATTATTGCGGTGTGGAAAAAACATTAAAAACAAGTGTAATTTGTTCTTACAAAATTCATCGTCGACAATGGGGAGTTTTACTATTTTTTGGGAAAAATGTTCATATTTCGGCCGCTGTAACTCGTTACACATTAGAAAAAAAAATGTTGATACAAAAAATGTGAGAAATTTTATCTTCTTTTTCTATCTGAACACTTTTGCCGTAGAATCAACCGCTGCGGAGTTATTTTGGAAAAATCGATTTTTCGTACCTTTCATCCAAGATGGCAGCTCAAGCGGTCCTCCCCCAAGGTCGAAAACTTGGATTTTTTTGTCAAGGCCTAGACCTTAACAACATATTAAATAATTACTACTACCCCACCTTTTGTAGGGCAAAACTCCCTACTGACTGGACTATTAACCGATTTTTGATTTTTATAATTTTTTTCTTAATACAAAAGTACTATTTTCATACTTACAACATCCTGTGCTGAGGCAAAACTCTCTCCTCCGGATAAATCCGCGTCAATCCCATTTTCCGAAAGGTGTGTCCCACTTTCAGGCCTAAACAACACCGACCTTTGGTCCAGGAATAACATTTCTGCTTTATCTTGCAGTTCTATAGCAACGTCTAATAAATGTTGAAGATCCTTGCAAAAATTCGCTTCTTCAGGACCCAAAACCGCCATAGCACCTCCTCCATCCCTGGATCTATACAAGGCTAAGGCGTCTTCCCAATAGTTTATGCATGTTTCTAAAGCCTCCATTGCTGGAAAAAAATTGCTTTGCTTATTAAAAAACAATAGAATGAGAATGGCAATAGTCATATCTCCGTGTCATAGAGAAAGGAAAAAAAGACACCCAATTACTGTTTATATATATGGAGTATAGTATACAATGCAGGAGCCGCCCGTAATGGTTAAAATATGCGGTTGCCTTAAGTGGCCATTAAATGGTAGTAGGTCGGGATTTTTTGTATGAAATAACACAGTCCTGCAATTTACTACTGACTATATTTAGCACCTGATTGTCAATTTGATTGCAGCGATTATGCGTTTTGGTTTAAAATAGACACTAGGTGAGAATGTTCTATTCGCCACTTAGTCAATGTCGGGTAAACACTCAAATATCAATAAAATAAATCGCTGCAAATAGTCAAAAATGACATTTCCGGAGCATTTAAAGCCCTTCGCTTTAATCCACATTTTCTTCGTATAGTGCTATAAAAACGATTAAATATTATTATTACGGTTGTCAATCCTACAATTGTTATTTTAGAATCGTTATTTACCGTTATTTGTGGTCGATGTTTGCAATGCTTCATTAGCAGTGACTAGACCGGAAAAAACTGCAAAACTGTGCTGCAAATTTGTTTTATACCATTTTGTTAGTTGTTGAAGACAATTTTGTGTATTGTTATTTAAATAAATTACACAAATTCATAATAATTAAAAAAGGCGTATTTTAATGTTGTAAAAACGTTAGCCCGTTTATGATTTTTCAGCAAAATACGAGTATTTTTGTTTCATTAGAGCAAGAATGGGAACAATTCTTCATAATATAAAGTACTGCTTTAATAAAATGTCGGCAAAATGTGAACAGTTTAAAAGGAATGATAATTTTTAGGTCACTTAATGGTTTGTAATGTTCTCATTAAGCTATATACGAAGTAGCTATTAAAATACATAATTTTCTGATTATTATTTAAATCGTAAATTTAGGTACAGGCTTGACCCTGAAACGCTGACAAAAAATCAATATAATATATAAAAAATAAGTCGATAAAATACACCAAAATTACCGTCTCTCATATTTACGGCTCAAAAGTACAAACACCTTCAATAAAGATCATCAACCGCTAAAACTAATATTTGACTTTTAATACAGTCTATTTGAACATGCCTTCATAAAGCTGTTAATCTGATTTAATTTTTCGAAAAAATAAAATGTGCAATAATTTTAACAGCAATATTTACTTTCTTTGTAGTAAAACTGAGAAGTGTGATATGAAAGCAGAAAACTCATGTCAGTTTCCCTTCATAAAGAGACTTGAGACTCCACTAACATCCTAGGAGGTCTAAAACGTTAACACACTTGAAATGTCTCCATTACATCGTAAAGCATCCAAAAAAATCGATCATGGGAAGCAAGTATAATGATTTTAATCAAGATTCAAGCGTATGGCTAGAATCCCTTATCATCCTGTTTATGAAAATCCCTTCCTGAATTATGAAACAAGGGTCTGAAATTTTGTGGTAACAGGAAATGAATTTTGTATTTCTTTTGAACAGTGCGTAATGACAATAATCATTTTTATATTATTTTTTATAATAAAAGTGATAAAACGATAAATTATTATTGCACAAAAATGTGTTTATGTATGTAGCAGATATCACTGACGCCGGCTGGGCTATTGAAGTTAGAAAAATCAAATAATTACTATGAACTTTGCATACTAATGATAATGTTTATAAGTGGATAGACTGCAATGTAATAATAATTATAATGTCTGAAATCACTTCGAAGGCAAAACAATAAATATTATTTGCATACAATAATGCGCAAATTCAATATCGTTTTTGTAATAAAAATTAGTAAAAGGCATTTATCGCGACAAAATACTAAAGAACAGAAAGTTGAATACGAGTATAACTGAAATAACATATTTTCTATTTACTCTTTACTAAAATTCAAATCAATTAAACCACTCAGGTTGCTTTATCTTAAAAAAAAAAACAAAAACGGTTTTCGACCGAAAAATTCAATTTTGTTAAAAATCTGAAGCAAATCAACAGAAGTAAAAACATTGCAAAATATAATAATTGATATTTGGAAATTAAAATTTTGGCCTTTACATTAGCATGATTTTGTCACCCAATTTCGTAATAAAGTACTATAAAATAGTACAAATTTCTTTATAATCATAACATAAAATAAATAATAAATTTCGAAAGCAATCAACGTCATAAATCACAATCACAGCATCACGGAATTTATTAAAAGAGTTGACAACATTTGAACGTACAATTCCGTGAAACGTGGGAATAACTGACCTTAAAAGCTTATATCTAAAAAACATAAACAATCATGATCTTGAAAAAAATGCCGTTTTATCAATGAAAATAAAGAACAATATGCAATCAAGTGCTATTTCTCATGTTGAAGCGTTTAAAAGTTCCGCTAGCGATTTGGCTAAGTAGCAGCTACTTATGATTCCATCATGAGGCATCACTATTACATGATTTGTACTATGCAATTGCCCTCTTCCTAATAACAACGGCACTACAAATTTATATGCATTACTCCATACGCATCATCATTATTACTGGACACATGTTGGGATCAAACGGACTGTGAATACGAAACGAGAACTTTCCATCGTGATGTCGACTTTCAATTAGCCAAATTCTAGCTTCTAAGATAAGATATTCAGCATACTTTTAAGGTCAAACTGTATCAACAAGAAGAGGTCACAAATTTTTAAATTAATTTAGTTTGTATTTGGAGCAAAGGTTAAGAGATCAGATACAAATTTTCATGTTAAGATAAATCATAAAAACAAAAACATAATCAAACGTGTGAAATTCCATAAAAGGGAAAAATGAGGCATTTTTGAGGTTCTTAGATATGGAGAAGCTGCTGACCCTGGTTTCGTTTTCATTATTTTGAAGTGTTTTGACGAAAGTTGATGCTGATGTAATGGTTTATATTTTGCACAGGGTTTTGAAACGAAAAGGTTAACAAGAAGATCAAGATAAAGATCGGTTTCTCAAATTTTATCCATAATGCAAACAAAAGAAATAAAAATTAGACAATTGTGCAAGAAAACTGTTTATTATTTAAGAATTTATAAAAGAATATAAAATATTATTAGAAACGTTGCTCCTGAATTAGTAGAATTTCCTTAATTATTGTAATGATAAGCCTTCCGAAGAATGCCTTTAATAAATCAACGCTGAAGTAAATAAATATATTAATAAGACAAAACCTTGGACACCAAACAGCCTGTAAGATTTATTATTCAGGAACTTTCATATTATATCTTAATCTCAATTTTCCCATTTTTTTCAATCTTTAAACATGTCAACAGAAGACAATAAAAACTTTGTTCGCATTTTCCACTCAAATGAAAAAATCCGATGAACGATAAAAAATAAAATATTCATAGGCATTGTCCTCTCCATATTCGCCCCAAAATTGAATTTTTTAAACAAAGAGGGATCGAGTGATGACTTTCAAAGTGGATAGATCTGCATGCATACATTATTGAAATCGTCCAAATCACGGCCCTAAGTGTACGAATAAAAATCAATACGCCACCCATAGGCAAAAAAGTGTTTATAGGATTGACTCCAGTTATTCAACTTTACTATTTGATGCAGACAATTGTCAATGATTTAATAAATCTAATTCGATGTAATCTAATATTATTCATATCGTAGCCACTACTACAAACTAATAGAAATGATTTCATTGTACGATCTGTGATGTATCCGGTGACGTCACTTGAAACTTGGAAGGATTCTCGAACTCCGGTCATTGTGAGTCACGTTCTTAATATGAACAAATTCTGTTTATATTTCATATCTCGTTTTGACATTTCAACTCCAAAAACGGATTCTTCAGCTATCGGCCCCAGTTCCGACCAGATCTGGCCCCAATTGAAACCGCTTGGTAGGCAAGTGACTAATCATGATCTAGCATTGTATTCGCTCATAAATAACAATTTTCTCAAAGTGTTTGTTTATTGCCATTTACGGTGTGACATTAGCTGCACCTTGTACCTGAAGTAATCGTTGAAAAGCAATGTTTGTGTTTGCATAATAATTCAGGTCACCAACCTTATATTTACTAAAACATCATTGTTTTTCATGATGTTGTATCTACGAGTATAGTTATGTAAGTTGGATTTTTGGTGACTCAACGAAATGAAAAAATTTAGCCCCAACTGTGTGACATAGACTTGGGCAATAACAACGGGTAAACTTAACCCATTAAAAGAAGTTGTGTTGTAAGACGACACAAAATATGCTACGCAAGATATTCAAGAAAAATAATAAGATACCGTAACAAGACACTTGTTTTCTAATTTTAAAACTGCATCATTCCCAGACAACCTTTCGTTCTTTCGTTTAGGTCAACAACAAGACATGACGTTTCGTTTAGCACATTTATGTTTACCTTCAGACTTACGTAATTTTTCTAGAGCTCTATAATAGAGTTGTTGTTTAATGGTGTATTTCACCTAGGGTAATAAAAATGATTCGAGGTGATGTCCCAGCTGGTGTTTGGCTCCCCGGCTGTATTAATTTTGAATAGTTGCAGGGTGGAGGGGATGTCATTCGAATCAGGGTGGAATTCAGAAGGATCCTCCAGCTGCATGGACGACGCAGAGAGCAAAAAGCGATCAATAAAAACAAAAAAAAAGTAGATAATTACAAGGTTAATCTTTAAAGTTATTGAAGCACAAAGAAAAACTGATAGACGCAGGTTCATTAACCATTTGACCTGTATATATTCTCCATGTAATTTTTTCCAATGAGATTCGGTTGACTGGCCACAAATTATTCAATTAGTTCAAGAGAAAAATTCTCAAGATGCAGTGTGATGCACGTCCGTTGGAAATTCTGTTTATTCACTTAATATAATTTATGATTTGAACACCTTCAATAAAAAATATTTTTTTGTGTCTTTGTATTATTATTGTCTTTGCAATTGATTGAATTTTAACTTTCCTGTGAGTATTATTGATTTAAAAATAAAAAATTAAAACAAAAAGTAATGTAAAGTAATTTTTAAAAAAAGTGTGGAAAAAAATTAGTACATATTTGCTTCTAAATTTTCGGAGTCAGTTTTCAATTAATTAACACGCATAATAAGTGTAAAAAAAATCCTAATTTTGATAAACAATTCGTTTGCCTAAATAATCTCTCTGATTAATTATATTTTGGTAAATGTACTTGTAATAATCACTTATTTTTTTATTAAAGCACTTTAGTTTTGTAAATTATGGACAGATAACTTAGTTTTTTTACTGTTTCTTTTGCAAAACTTAAAAATCTGTAGTAGGTATATCAAATTTTCAAATTCTGTTCATATTAGAAGAAAAAAAATATAATATAAAAATCACTGTCGTGTTGCAACGTCAAACTTATCGTAACCTATTAACAAAAGTAAAATCATTCTTAATAAGAATAAGATGATTCAAATTTTTTTGTCCCTTTCCACTCATATTACATAAAATTTAGGCGTTTTCCAACTGGTTCATAATTTTCTTTTCCTCCGTCTATATGTCTTTTTATACTCGAGATTTTAATAATTATACGTTTGATTGTTTCATAATTACGTTTCTGCTTGACTTAAAGTTGAAAAAAATTGCAGAGAATGGCGGAGTCAAAGGTTAGGGAAAGAGGAATGAATATAAAGACTTGTATTATTCATAAACAAAACAAGCATTGAATAAAATTATTTAGAAACTTGAGCAACTTTATTTATTTACCATTGCAATAAACATTTAAAAAATACTTTCACATTTGCTAAACAATACACTAAAAACACTGTTGTAGAGTAAACCAAAAAGAATTTTCTTTTTGTATATTTTATGATTCCAAAAGTATCTTTTTGGCAAAACTAGAATTTATTATGAAAATGAGAACATTAAGCCGTTTTAAAGTACTTAATAAGAATGATTCCATAACAAAAATGAATGTTACAACATTTTTTTTTTTTTAATTTTGCAATTCGTTTAAAAGTAAGATGCATTTCCTTTCCATCAAAAAGTCGCACAATAACCTTGCATTTAACCTTTTACCATCCCGAAACACCTCTTCAAACCTGTCACTTCCCTTGCCCCTCAAAGGCAAAAAATTCGTCTCAAGCTCTCGAACCCAAACAAATCAGAGCACAGGTAAAAACGTAAAACGCCACTGAAGAAATGAATAGAAAAGAACGTTAACAATCGACCCGGACTATGAATAGTGACGTAGTTCCGGGGCCAATCGAAGCGCTGCACAGGACCCCACTCAGACTTGTAGCCGTAAAACCGGCAAAAGCACGGAGACTACGCCATTAGCCGTTCGAATCTCACTAAGAGAGTGCGTGAACCAACAAAAATCGTTAAGTGACGTATTTGCGATTGTGACCAGTGCAAAAATAAATAATACAGGGTGACCCATATCTATTTTCTTGTGGATTTTTACTTAACTTACGCCATATCAGGATTCGTGGTTATGAGCAGCAAGGTAAGAGTCTTTGGTGGACTGAAAGGCGCCAAAAGTGATTTTTGACCAGAGCTGAAAACTCACTATGCAACACGCGCTGTAAATTCCAATTGTTCAGGTCTTGAAGATGTTACACGATTTCCTGATCGATTAGAGTAATTGGAGCAAGATTTTCTTTATGTGCTTCAAGATACAAGAGTTAATCTTCTAGGCGCCACTTCCATATCCGGAGACGGTTTATTTATGTGAATACGAATGCGATTAGTCCGGAAAAATCCGGTGGTTTTTATTACAATCTTATCCAGTCATCTGCATTAGTGCAGGAGATTGGAAGATAACATAGGCCGGACGTTAATTAAGCCTCTGATTCGAAATTCAACAGCAAAGTCTATTGTATTCTGGACGTTCAAAAAGCCAAATTTAAATCTAATACAGACATAAGAATCGATCAGAAATAAATTAGATTTTCTGTCTTTTAAATTAACATAACTTGTTACAAAAGATTTCGTCGAAATTAATCACCAATAATTATGAATTTTTTTTTTGAGATTGATGCTACACATCAAATTGAAGAGCTATTTGAAAACTAGAAGTAGAAGAGGTTGGGCACGATTTTCGTTTATAATTATTCATGACATGTCTGTAGCTCCTGAATTAGTAGCTACTGCTGGTTTAAAATGCAAAATTTCTCTCATTTTGAAGCACTAATGTTAAAACATTGAAAAAATTTTGTTTCGTAAAAAATATACAAAAAAACTAATTTCATAAAACAAACATGTAACAAAAAAAATGTTTTTATGCCAGTAGCAAAAATTCAAATAACCAAAGTAATCTTTCAAATTTTCAACGACACTAAAACATCGAACTTGGTGAAGTTCTATACTCGTATATTAATTATATTAGTAAAAAAGTCTTTTATGACAATTCCTTAAATTTGGCAGTTTTAGTATTTACTTTCACTAAAACTGATACGAATTCATTAATTAATAAGAAGAGGGTTACAAAAAATGAAAAACGAGGATAAATCTCCACAAAATTCCTCAAAAACCATTAATAAAATCAATTCAGGTTTGTTGCAGCAATTAAATTCGAAACAACTTTTCGCTTAATGCTCATTTCTTGTTGAATTCCAAGCTTATTCGAGGACATACTTCAATTGAATTGTTGACAAGATGAAACAAAGATAAATTGAATTACTCTATCACCACAAAAATTGGGATATTCGGTTGTTTTTCTTGTACCAAATTAAGCCTTTTGCTCCTTTTTCTTCCATTGTTGAAGGATTTAAAAGTCGTGCATCCAACCCAACGGTTCACCGCCTCCAACCGTCACAACCCGACCGGAAACGACCGTTACCTTCCGGACAAACACGGGCCACCCCGTCAAAAATTTCAAAATTCATTGGACTCTTGAAGCCTGTGCTAAATTCCTTCATGCTTTGTTGTGCAGTTAAATGGATATTTATTGGTTCTGTTTGTGTACACCGTCCCGATCTGGTGATTTTAATCAGGCAAGATTAGCAATGCGGTAGACCTGCGTCGATCAATAGCTTCATTAATAGAGACAAGTCTCAAGGATTGAGCAAAAATCCAATTTTGAACAAGCATAAACCCGATTCGTGCGACCTCATTAAAAGAAAAAAAAACCGGTAGTGCAGTCCTACACAGTGCATATTTTGAATTTCTCGACTCGGAGGATACGCTTAATCCGATGAATATTCACGGATTCACTCGCTTTGCATAACGGCATTTTTGTTTATAATTAATCGGGAAATTATGACTCGAAGCCAGAAAAAGTGCAGCGACAAGTTAAAAACAAATAAAAACAAGCGTAAACAAACCCACATTGCTCGGTAATTTAACCACAAACAAATACCCGCATCACGCGTTTTTTGTATTTTATCGTGATTCGGGACTTTGTAATTTCTCATCAAAAATACTTGGATGACTCTCGTTTGTGGGTGGGAATTATGGTTATTTCATCGAGGAAAAGTCGTTTTGGGCCCACGCCGGCACACCTTTTAAGGTTCTAATTTAGAAAACGGTCTCAGTTTTTAAGTTTCGAGACGATAAGACCACCTGTTTCGTCAGAAATTTTATTGAAATTAATCGAGGACATTTTAAACATCTCTTATTTTGCTTATCTTAGCAATAAATCGCGATTTTTTCCTTAATAGCAGCTGGTCTAAATTATTAAACACATAAGACATGTTAAAATTGTCTACTAAACGTGAGTCATGATTGTGAGACACTAAGCAGGCTCCTCGTCAGGTAACAGCTACTTTTTTAACGAGGTTACTGAAAATTATTACTTTGATGTATAGCTTTTGTTTAGTACAATCAATTAGAATATGTCATGTTGTTTGGTTTTTATGGCTCATATTTTCCAGTTTTTATAGTTTGGATGACTTTAAAGTAATTGATATTCAAATTATCGTTTGCAGATCTTGTAGTTGCGTATAGGGAATAGACAATAGATATTTCTGCCAAACAAAAGAATAGTTCTCTTCCTCTGTTAAATGACAGTAATCAAATATTTTTAATTTCTAGTTAGACTCTTTGAAATTCCTGACATTCCCTGGTTACAATAGACAAAGCTTTCAATTTAGACATACACCTCCACATCCTTTGTAGATAAAACATAAGAGAGGGTTGTGAGGGACAATGAAAGCTGTGCCCATTAGCATAACATTGAAGTGCAAAGTGTCCTTCATTATCAGATTCTACTGCTGACCCAGATCTGTCCATTGCAAAATCCGATGAATATCTCTCATAAATAACGCTCTTTCATGAGTTTTCATTTCGAGTCGCCATTTATCTTTTTTTTCTCGTTCTGAAACGATTTAAAAAAACAGGCCTTATAGTTATCGTTCACCTGAAGTTCCCTTAATTCTCTTTTAATCGCCGCACCTTAGAGTAATATCTCGATTTCGTGTCTAATTTTCGGATTTTTGACTTAATAAATTAGCTAGTTACCGGCTATATCAGAACACGAAAACAAACAATAAGAACAGCAATTGGCCACATCTCATTCCTCATCATTGAGAAGGAAGCCCGATAATTAACCAACGGAAACGTCTCATAACCAAGTTGACTCCGACATGACTCAAGTCAACTCAGACGAACCGTGAAAAAAAATCTCATTATCAGCCGTTAAAAATTCTGACAGATGGTGTAACCGTTTCGTATCGATCCACACCTGGAAAAATGACCTTCCGAGTGATAAGTGGCCTATTTATGGGATGATCCCCATCGAACGATTATCACTTATCAGTAAAAACTGTCACTTTCACACTAATGAACACTCTGGGTTGAAAGGGTGCTCTAAGTAGGCTATTATTGACGAGGTTTTAATTCGATACGGGTGGATTTCCTTTTTTGACACGGGAATTGGTATTGTACAGCAATAAAAATTAAATTAATGATGAGTTGCTAACATAAACCAAAGTGAAGTTGTACTCTTAAAATAATGATGTCTGTGACACATGAAATTGTTGATTGTAGAAAAAAAATCGTAATTAGTCATCAGCTTGTTTTGAAAAAAGGCAAAATATTCTGATTTGCAAATTTCGAATTATGCCTCGGTCATAGTACATAATTCGAATCATATTTTTTTGCACAATAGAACATTAATTTTCTTGGAAATCTTGAATTATAATTTTTTCCTCTTCGTTTCTTTCTGATTCCATCAGTGATTTTTTTCCTTCAGTAACAAAAATGGGCCATTTAACCTTCTTCATTTAAAAAATATCTAATCGAAAATGTAATTTCCTAGACTTTGATAGTACTCGCACTAGTACTCTACCAACTAGTGCCACTTTCCACATTTTTTGAACAATCTCCGCTTCATTGAGCTAATTTCTGGCATCATTATACTTCAATCTTAAGTCTCCATGTGGTCTGGAATCTGTTTTTTATCGCAAAGAAAAAGTCCGTACCATCAACACTAATTGTGCTATAATGATAATCATCTTCCGGTGACATTGATATTTTCACATGAGATTGTCTACCACATAAAGCTACCAAAGACCACAAGCTTCACCCTCTTATTGACTACCTGTGCTATAAGCAACCCTCTGAGAATCATAAAAGTGAATGACATGTGCGGTGTGTATGTTTCAGTTGATTGGACGAGAGGGTGAGGGATTGTCCGATCGATATTCAGGGTGCATCGTACCTGGGAAGAATCTCTGCGGTACTCTTCTATAATTAGCGATACAATAGCGGTCGTACTGTTCCAAGTTCAAGTTTAACGGCTTGTACACACATACGGAACAATGTCCTTGTCCGTGGACTAGAGTTTTCGCAGTTCTAATTTTTCGTCCTTGACGGTCTTTGAAGATGAATCAGTTGGTTAGTCATCGAAAGGAAATTGATGACTATTCTCCGGTGAATTTAATATCGCATTTCGGAAAAAGGGAGTGAAGGCAGGCAGAAACCTTTATCCTTTCTCGTAAAAGTGGTGTTAACCTTTGAAAAGCGCAAGGCTCAGAAGCGGAATGTTAACACGATACGCGCCAAAAGGAGTTTAGTGAACACAATTTTTGTTCAATTTGTTTATTTCACGTTAGGACTTTTCGTGTCACAGTTTCCTGTGAAAATATTTTACCGACTTTGAATCCAACAATTTAACCAGCGGCATTAGGATAATTGCCTAAATGGAGCTTGGCGTGATGCTAGAAGTCTCATTTTCGAAAATTAGGAGAAATCTTCGTAATTCCTTTCCATTTATTGCGAGAATTGCTCGCTTCAAAAATTAATTAGACAAAATAAAATTGCCGTGAGTCAATCAAATAACATCAGCACGTTTTCCGAGAATTTAGTTTTAATTACTCTTATTATGTGATAAGACATTAAATTAAAGAGTGTTACACTTTAACAACATTCAAAAAATCTATTATCAGATTAATATTACAGTAAAAGGAATTTTAATTAGTTTATTTATGAAAACTCGCAAATAAACCTAATTTTTGGACCTGAACTGTTTACAAATTTCAAATTAATAAATTCCTCGATGACTAATTAGCAACAATTAGCGAGTTAGTGTGCTTTTTCACGGCGGCCTCAAAGTAAACTGCATCTTTTATGATTCATTACGCTTCATTTATTTATACTAAAACCCTTTTATCGTGTTTACGAAACAAACTGAATTATTAAATTAAATGATGAATGAGATTCCAAAAGTTTCTAATTTTGAAAAAAAAAAACTTTCAAACAAGTTCAGCTCTCATTAATTGTTAATTATAGTCGGAAATTAAAAGTCTTGCAATTTTTGCGATTCAATGTGACACAGAAGTAAGGTCATTAACTTCATGAAGAAATTCTATATTTCTTGCACGCAATTTATCTCATTATGTCCCATTTAAAATTGCACGTTATATAGTTTGAAAAAGAATTTTAATACAAGTTTTTTTATCGAAATAATAATTTTTGCGTTAAATTGGATAGACTTTTGAGATTATAACATTGTAAATAAAGAGGAAAGAACCAAGAACAGTATCGAAACAATATCTTTTGTTGTATCATAAAATTAACATTTTGAAATCTAAAATATAAATAATACATGACGAAGTTGTAAAGTTAAATCAAGTGGAAGAAATATTGGATAAGAGACATTCTGATGCTCAACGCCCTTCTTTTGTGTGACTTTTTATTCCTCCATCCAAAATTGTAACGTAATAATTGTAAAAAAATTTTTTTTCATTAAGGCCATGATGTGTCCATACTGTATAAGTACATTTAATTCCCACGTAATTTTTCACGCCAACTTCTTTCAATCAAACTTTGTTTATCTATTGCGTAATGAAAACATTTGTTGTGATTCATTAAAAAAAATACATTAGGCATGAAATTACTTACACGTTTTGTGCATTAGTTCTCAAACTGGAGCCCTCGATAAGAACTTCCAAATTTGTTGATTTCCTCCCCCATTTTAGCCCCATTCAGATCAAATCGTGTTTACAAAAAGCGAAATTAAGACCGATTTTATTATAAACCCATCACTAAAAAGGGATGAACTGCATTTTTCTCCCTCTCGATTACGCCAATCAGCCATTAATCTTGATCAAAGCACCGCCTAGCCTTCTTCTTTTTTTTGGCACCATTATCTTGTCTCAAGGTTGTAAAACCGAATCATCGCGATATCTCGGAGACGTGTCGCAATGTCACCCCGCGATTTAATTTCATAAATCATCGAAGTCAGAGCGACTCTAATTGAATTCCAGCCCGGAAATCTATCAGGTATCGAATCCATTCAGGAGACTTTTATCAGGATCTACTTCATTACTCCGGGCACCGTAAATAATCCGGGAGCCCCGAAAATATGGAGCGAGGGTGGAAAGGAGGATATTTAAAATAGCCTAGAAAGGGTTTCCTACTCGATTTTTACTTGGTGTAACAAATAAAAAATAATAAAGAGTGATTTAACAAGCCTTGAATTAATCGAATCTGTAAGTTAGTTTATAGCCCCTATTTGCAATAAAAGATAACCCTGACTTATAGCTCCTGAGCCACTGCAACTATTCAATTACTCACAATAATTGTTAACCGACTTTTATGACTCGAGATGAGATAAACTGCTTTAAAACGCTAATAAACACTGATTTACTGTTAACCAATGTGGTGTCACTGTTGCAAAATCGTAACCATTTCTGATTTTAATCATGAACGGTTTAATCCAAAAACCACGTTTCTTTCTTTCCATTGATTAAAGTAGCGTTTTGGTTCCGGTCGAAAGCCGCATTTCGGTTCTTAACACTTGATGAAATTCGATCCAAGTGGGATTAATGGTGGTCCGCAATGCGAATAAGTGAAACCCTTGTGTCTTGCATAATTTTTTCATGTGTCAGCAGGACTGTAACTCGGGTTTCTTCTATTGAGACTTTTGTTGCTTTTTGGTCGTAAATAATTCAGGAATGACGTAGGTGAGGCAACGATCTGGAGTTGCGATAGGAATTGAATCGATTCCGACAAGTGGACGGAATATTACGTATTATTGCATAACTAAGCTATCGAGGTCAAGTTAAAGGCCGTCGCAACAAATCGTAGAGAAATACACATGGTTGATTCTAGTTTTTTCTCGATTTTTTGACTCTCCCAAAAATGGAAAAAATCGCTCTTTCACCGGTAGACAAGGTTCCACCTGCCCATTCACAAAACCATTAGCAAGTCAAATGAATCTGGTCAAAATTTAAATTCATTCACGCTTCTAGCTAGACCAAACAAACAATATCGAAGGCAATTCTAGCCCAAATTTGTCTACTCGTAAAAAAGGTCGGATCTTTTAATACGTGTGTGTAAATTAGTTTAAAATCAATACAAACACAGTTGATGAATTATGCAGCAACTCAGATAAAAAACGTCCGACATTTATTCAAATCTACTCTTTGAAAAATACAAAAAAGCCACACAAACGATTAATTTAGAGAGCATTTCTCTCACGCACACCAATATGAAAACGTCAGAAGGGAGGATTGTGAAAGCTTCTGACTTCTTTGACAACGAGGAAATGATAAAGGGGATAAATGGACAAAGCTAGGGATTGTGGCGCAATATTTTTACGGAAAAATAACGAGTAGTGTTGCGTAAAACTGTCTTATTAACGAGATAGAAACTTGTTAAGTTGTGAAATTGTGAAACTGGTTCTAGTCTAGCGAAAACTTGATTTGTGCTCTATTGTTTGCTGGGACAGACGCGCAATTGCTCATTTACAGGAAACAATTATTTGATTTCAAAGGGTGGTTCTGGAAGTAGCACAAGAGGGAGAAAATCCAGAAATGATTCCAAACTGCAATTTGCCTATTATAATAGATGAACGAGAAAAATCCCAACCCTTTGCATCTGACCTCAGTTACTCTTCCATATAAAACGGATGGACGCCCATGGTTCATGTACTCATACCCATGCATCACCATTGTTTAACAACGAGTCATACTGTGTTATCGCTCAAATCAGTCTCGCTCTCAGTAAAGATTTCTTATTCTTCGGCCCACGTGAATAGTGTGCATGACCCCCGCTCAGAAAATCTCTTAAATGAACCCAATTGATCGATGCATGATGTGGGAAGATCGAATTAAGCCACTTGTGACAATTTAAAAGTGATTCCTGCTGCCATCCGTCCTACTTTTTCTCTCGAATCTCGTCATCTTCGATTAGTTATGCATTCAGACACGCACACCCACATTCTGCCTTGTAATTACTGTACGTGACTGGCGGTCTCTGCGACGATTGTGATCTGCATACGAGCATACGCGACCCCTTCATTAACGAATTAACAAAACCTGGAAGCTTTCAGTGACCAATCCTCCGGGTCCCGGATTTAATCGAATAATTTCGTTGCTGTTGCACGCTTGCTTGTCGGCGTGCACCTTTATCACGTTACCATGCCAACCCCCTATTTTAGTCTTGTGTTGCAATCGTAAACACACGTGGCCCCCGGAGTTGCGCACCCTCGTCGAGCGTCAAGTGGCATCGCGATTTACCCGAATTTACAACGTCTTCGGTTCGCAAATGACGTTCCATTGAAATGCGAGGCTAAAAATAGACGCGGACGCTTTGTCCACGGTGCAAGAATTACCTGCAGGTATGCAGGAAGCGAGATTCTTGAGATCGACTGAAAAACTCCGGAAACCAAAGCGAATCCGGATTCATTTGTGACGAAGGTCGTTTTTTCATGGGTGTCGCTTCAGTTGCTGTATAATTATCACGAATCAATGCGAAAAATGTTTCAGGGCGCCTCGTGAGTCTGGTATGCGGCAAATCTTCGCCTTATCAACATGTCAGCGCAATTAATCTATCTATGATGCAACTTATGCAATCAACTTTTGCTAATTAAATCAATTTGCTAACTACAATTTTTATCATACGACTGTCAAACTCGTTCCAATGCAAAACCGAAAGTCGATAACTTTCCAGTTATGTCAGAAATTATGATGACTGAAACTTTTACTTTCTCACAGACATTTAAATCGAGGCTTACCGATCGCATAATCAAAGTCTCTTAAAGTTTCAAGGTTTAAAATCCACATAGAGTCGCGAGATTTATTACAGCTATTGCCCTTATCAGTGTGGCAAATGGTCCGTGTTGCATGAATATCCTGCATAATCCCGTAGCGGAAAATTGAATTGTCCTTAGAACGTTACGTTACCGTGCGACCAGTTTTTCTCCATTTGACCGTTTTCTCGCAACAGCCTCGAGCTGTGGGTTTGTCTGTTTATCATTCTGTAAACTTGTCCTTTTTCAGATGACGAGGATATTACTTCCGTTTATCCTAACCCTTACTTTCGTTCGAGGAGAAACTTCGGTCTATATCCTGTCTGAAAATTTAGAACAAGTGGTAACCTCAACGACACTTCAATGGGTCCATTCGTCCAGTATCAACGACACCACTCTGGGCAATGCTGTCATCGCAGCTTTGCAAGTAGTCAAAGGTAAGTCAAAAATCAAAC